CAAGCTAGTGATGAGTTGTTAAGGCTAGAAGTGTATGAGTTGGCAAGACTATTGATTACAAGACAAGTCTAGGAAGCATGACAAGGAGTACTAGAAGCATGAGTTGTAAAGATTCTCTTATCTTTATTGGTGAGGTGTCAAACTCTCATAAGAGTACAATCTTCAGAGCAAGAAGAACAAGTAGTTAATGCAATGAATTTATCTATAAATAGGGGTTTAAGGGTCACTATTTATGCATACCAAAAAAATAAGAAATCTCTCTATATTTACCTAATTAAGCTTGAAGAAAGGAATCAAAGAAAAAAGTAGGCAAATCAAGGTGAGTACTTATGTGATTTATGAGATACATGTATGCTCTATATAAAAGTATTTTATGCATTACAAGTTATGTTGCCATATCTTCTTGTAAAAAGTTATATTATGATTATGTGGCAAAGTACACCTTTTATGTCATAATGTATATGTGGTATATGAAAGTTTTTATACATACATACATACATATTCAAAATATGCATGATGACATACAAGTGTACACACAAGACATGAAAATCATTTACATGTTATCATATGTGTTACACAAGGCATGAATTTTTTTACATGTTATGTATAACCATAATATCCAGCGTACGGGATATTACAAGAAGGAACGTCTTGCAAACGGACCTTATAGGGAAGCCTTTTAATGGACCCGGGGGTTAGCAAACCTCAAGACAAGTATGGTATACATGCATGTGACAAGTGAGATCTCAAAAGAATGTTTTATGCATGATAAAGAATATAGTATTTTATGAATGTTTATGCATGAGAATAAAAAATATTTTTGTACATGATCAAGAGCTTTTATGAATTATCATTTACAAAATATCATGGAAATTTCTCATTCATGAAACTATAAATACTCACTAAGCTTATAGCTTATATATCTCATGTATGTATCTCAGGAAGGAAGTAAGAAGGATTTGCATAAAGTATAATGGTTTTAGTTTGAAAAGCAAGTTTTGTAGTAATACAAGTTATGGTTATGTTTCCGTTAAGTAGTTTCTTCTTTGATGTAAATTCAAGATATGTACTAAATAAAGCTAAATTTCAAGTTCAGATTGAAGAGTTTAATAAAGTTTATCATGTAAAGTAACGACACCCAATATATATAGAGACGTGGGGCGTTACAGATGGTATCAGAGCCTTTGGTTTAAGTGAACTAAGATTTGCCTTAGATTAGGTAACTTAGACTTCAACTAAGGAAAATAACATTAAGTACTAGAACTTTATAATCATGTGTATAAAAGTTTAATAATTTCATATTTGTATCTCCTTTTAGATGGTTGATTCCGACATAGAGTTAGCCAAGATTGAAATAGAATACATCGAAAATAATCCACCTATTGATAATGACATAGAAGAAGATGAGGAATGGTAAGATGAAGAATGGGAGGAAGAAGAGGAAGAAGAGGAAGATATATCTAGAGAAGAACAAGATTTTCAAAGATGGATAACAGAAACTACATTACAAGAACGAAATGCACGTCTAAACCAAGAACTAAGAATCAAGATAAGAACCTTCCCGACCAAGGTAAAGGACAAATGTCTTTTTCTAGCTACCCAAATTAAGAAATTTTTTAAAGGATGCATAGCAACCCGAGTTGACTTAGACTGGGATGAAACAGGGATGGTGCACGACAAAGAATATGTGTTCAAAAAGTTATCTTATAAAATATGGCTACAATATCGCTACCCGCGCGAAAATTTTAGCGATATTGTAGCCATATTTTATAAGATAACTTTTTGAATACATTCTTTGTCATGCACCATCCCTGTTTCATCCCAGTCTAAGTCAACTCAGGTTGCTATGCATCCTTTAAAAATTTCCTTATCTTGATTCTTAGTTCTTGGTTTAGGCGTGCATTTTGTTCTTGTAATGTAGTTTCTGTTATCCATCTTTGAAAATCTTGTTCTTCTCTAGATATATCTTCCTCTTCTTCTTCTTCCCAATCTTCATCTTCCCATTCCTCATCTTCTTCTATGTCATTATCAATAGGTGGATTATTTTCGATGTATTCTATTTCAATCTCGGCTAACTGGGGGTCGAAATCTGTGTCGGAATCAACCATCTAAAAGGAGATACAAATATGAAATTATTAAACTTTTATACACATGATTATAAAGTTCTAGTATTTAATGTTATTTTCCTTAGTTTAAGTCTAAGTTACCTAACCTAAGGCAAATCTTAGTTCACTTAAACCAAAGGCTCTGATACCATCTGTAACGCCCCACGTCTGTATATATATTGGGTGCCGTTACTTTACATGATAAACTTTATTAAACTCTTCAATCTGAACTTGAAATTTAGCCTTATTTAGTACATATCTTGAATTTACATCAAAGAAGAAACTACTTAGCGGAAACGTAACCATAACTTGTATTACTACAAAACTTGCTTTTCAAACTAAAACCATTATACTTTATGCAAATCCTTCTTACTTCCATCCTGAGATACATACATGAGATATATAAGCTATAAGCTTAGCGAGTATTTATAGTTTCATGAATGAGAAATTTCCATGATATTTTGTAAATGATAATTCATAAGAGCTCTTTGATCATGTACACAAATATTCTTTATTCTAATGCATAAACATTCATAAAATACTATATTTTTTATCATGCATAAAACATTCTTTTGAGATCTCACTTGTCACATGCATGTATACCATACTTGTTTTGAGGTTTGCTAACCCCCGGGTGGCCGGGTCCATTAAAAGGCTGCCCTATAAGGTCCGTTTGCATGACGTTCCTTCTTGAAATATCCCGTACGTTGGATATTATGGTTATACATAACATGTAAAAAATTTCATGTCTTGTGTAACACATATGATAACATGTAAATGATTTTCATGTCTTGTGTGTATACTTGTATTTCATTATGCATATCTTGAATATGTATGTATGTATAAAAACTTTCATATACCACATGTACATTATGACATAAAAGGTGTACTTTGCCACATAATCATAATATAACTTTTTACAAGAAGATATGGCAACATAACTTGTAATGCTTAAAATACTTCTATATATAGCATACATATATCTCATAAATCACATAAGTACTCATCTTGATTTGCCTATTTTTTCCTTTGATTCCTTTCTTCAAGCTTACTTAGGTAAATATAGAGAGATTTCTTGTTTTTTTGGTATGCATTAATAGTGACCCTTAAACCCCTATTTATAGATAAATTCATTGCATTAACTACTTGTTCTTCTTGCTCTAAAGATTGTACTCTTATGAGAGTTTGACACCTCACCAATAAAGATAAGAGAATCTTTACAACTCATGCTTCTAGTACTCCTTGTCATGCTTCCTAGACTTGTCTTGTAATCAATAGTCTTGCCAACTCATACACTTCTAGCCTTAACAACTCATCACTAGCTTGCTTAGTCATGCTTACTAAACTTGCCAACACACTTCTAGCCTTAACAACTCATCACTAGCTTGCTTAGTCATGCTTACTANCACTTCTAGCCTTAACAACTCATCACTAGCTTGCTTAGTCATGCTTACTAGACTTGCCAACACACTTCTAGCCTTTAACAACTCATCACTAGCTTGCTTAGTCATGCTTACTAGACTTGCCAACACACTTCTAGCCTTAACAACTTAATCTCATCACTAGCTTGCTTAGTCATGCTCACTAGACTTGCCAACACACTTCTAGCCTTAACAACTCACCACTAGCTTGCTTTCTAAATGTAGCAGCTGCTGGAGTACTTGATTATGTATAAATATTTGTATTCAAGGCTGAAATATTGAGATTTATTTAATAAGAAACTAGGGTGTTACAGTATGATCAATGACGAATGGAATATTTAAGTTCAGTATACATATACATCATGGGCTTAGAATCTCATTTGTCAATATCTTTGTAAATAAATCCACAAAACCATATTTGGATGATTATCATGATTCATGGAAGATACACTTGTCACTGGGTCCCTCATCTTATTTATACTATGTGCTAGTCTTTCTTTCTTATGCAACTTTCTACATTATTTTCAGTTGACGTGCTTGCAACTCCAATTAGTAACATTAATAAATTTTCTTGGATGTTTGGTAAAATGCTTTTTGGACAAAACACATTTTATTATCATGCCGTTGATGTTATCTAATGCCTTTCCACTTAGCCTAATGGTCTCGCAAGTTTTTTGGTCTATTGAACTCTTTGTATTAGTGCCCAGTGCTAACCAATACAATCACTGCAGGTACATGTCTCCTTGGCAGGGAATAAACACATTCGTGTTACATGGATTACGAGTGATTCATCTTCTCCTTCACTTGTTGAATATGGAACATCACCTGGAAAATACAACTTTAGGGGTCATGGAGATACTACCTCTTATAGCTATTTATTCTATAGCTCGGGCACAATACACCATACTGTCATCGGGCCACTAGAAGATGACACTGTTTACTTTTATAGATGTGGAGGGCAAGGACCCGAGCTCAAGTTCAAAACCCCACCATCAGAGTTCCCAGTTACATTGGCCGTGGCCGGTGATTTAGGTCAGACTGGCTGGACGCAATCAACTTTAGAGCACATTGATCTATGCCAATATGATTTGCACCTGCTCCCTGGTGACCTCTCTTATGCTGATTACATACAGAACAGGTGGGACACATTTGGGGAACTGGTGCAGCCACTTGCCAGTGCAAGGCCATGGATGGTAACTCAAGGGAATCATGAAAAAGAGAGCATTCCATTTTTTAAGGAAGGCTTTGAATCCTTTAATGCTAGATGGAAGATGCCTTATGAAGAAAGTGGATCAACTTCAAACCTCTATTATTCATTCGAAGTTGCAGGGGTTCATGTTGTCATGCTTGGTTCATATACAGATTATGATGAGACATCTGACCAATACAACTGGTTAAAGGTCTGTTTGTTTCTATATTAAATGGTTCCAACTATTCTATGGCATATTTAATTTATTAAAAGTACCGAAGCAAGAGAAGTGAAAAGTTTCTGCTGAAAGATCTATCTATCTATCTATCTATCTATTAATTTGAGAGGGATATATGATTTTATATTCTTCTGGGGACAACATTGTACAGAAAATAGCCTTTTATGACAAACTGTATGGCATAGGCTAGAATACAAATGAGACCATCGAGCAACGGATGAAGTTTCTTTTCTCCAGTTGAACCTTTAACAACCAAGGCTGTGTACTTATGTTTTGATTGTTTAAATCTGTCTTCTAATTCTACCAAAGTTAAGTACAGCCTGCCCTACGTCTCCACTTGCTGCCCTGTTGGTTAGAGTTAACACTTGTTTACAGGGTGGTTGTATAGTCTACTGTCCTTGGCTAACATGAGATTTTATTTATATTTTGAATTGGACTTCAATATTTGAATGAATCCTTAGGTTTCTCATCATGAATTTTCATGTTTTGATATTTGATAAGTTGCATATATTCCTGTTGATATTATGTTCTGATCTTGTGTTGTTTCTTTGAATCTCCGGCAACAGGCAGATCTCTCAACAGTAGACAGGAAAAGGACACCTTGGTTACTTGCATTGTTTCATGTGCCATGGTATAACAGTAATAGTGCCCATCAAGGTGAAGGAGACAACATGATGGAAGCAATGGAGCCATTACTTCATGCTGCTGGTGTTGATATTGTGTTTGCCGGCCATGTGCATGCTTATGAACGCTCGGTAGCCTTGTAACCTTATACTAGTTTCATACCTTATTTTAATATTCCAACCCTGACTTTAATGTGGTTATTGTTCTTAAGAAACGTGTTTACAATGGAAAATCAGACCCGTGTGGTGCTGTCCACGTTACGATTGGAGATGGAGGAAACAAAGAAGGTTTAGCACACAAGTAAGCCCTATTTCTTAAGCCTTGATAATACCCATAGAACCAAAAAAACCAAACCAAACTAGCCCAGTAATTCCCACACCTAGGTAGGGTCTGGGGGTAGGATGTAAGCAAAACCTTGTTTCTAACCCAAGGGGTAGAGGAATTGTATCCGTGAAGACCTTTTGTTTGCAAAACAAATATTTAAAAGAAACAAGCAAGCATGCTACAGGTGAGAGTGCGTGCAAAAAAACGTGTATAGTTAACATAAAGTGCATCAGCGACATATGTGAGGGAAATAGGTTAGGACAAACAAGTAAAACATAAATTGTTTAGATATGTGTGGATAAAAGAGATCTCACTGCCTCTTATTTCTTTCATCTTCCCTGCTCCATTTGAGTTCCTTTGTGTTATTTAGTGAGGCAGACTTCTCGAATAGACCTTTATAGATGCTATTTGGTAATTTCATTTTACTAAAATGTTCTTCACATTAGCTGCACTAAACATAAAGGGGCGGACCTGTGTGGGAGCATACAGTGTCCCATGTCACCACTTCACGGTTCCATCATAGAGGGGAAAAATTACGTTTGTGAAGGGTGCCACTTGTGTATTTCTTAAAACGAAAGTTATGAAAGAAGTTTAAGGTGGTTGAATTGGTTTAAAGCGCTATGTTAAAGTTGCTGTTCTTAAAATATGCATGGGTTGGGATTCTGCTTTTAGCAAAATTCACGTTTTCTAGCTTAAAATATTGGGTTTCTGTTTTTAAAAAAATTGGACGAAAACAACTTTGCAAGGACTCAAACCAAGGACCTTTTATTGTAAATACACGCAACCATCCAACTTATCTATTATGATTTTGTGAAAAAACTTGTTTATGGTTGAATGGTGCCACTGTTTGAAATTTTGATTTTTGATTAGATCCTGCCTCTACTATAGATCAAATCACCACTGATTTCTTTGATAGGTACAAGGAGCCATCGCCAGAGTGGTCTGTGTTTCGTGAAGCGAGTTTTGGTCATGGTGAGCTGAAGATCGTGAACTCGACTCATGCCTTTTGGAGCTGGCACAGGAACGATGATGATGAACCCGTGAGGTCTGATGAAGTGTGGATAACCTCATTGATGAGTTCGGGATGTGTTGCTGAGGAAAGAAAAGAAGCTAGAGAAATACTCTGGTCGCCTTAAAAGGTAAAGCGCGGTAGTAGATATCGAACTCGTTTTCCATGTATGTAATATTACCAATTAACTCTTACGTAAATACGTAACCGGTTGAATCTTGAAGATTAACAATATGTATCCTTATGTTTGTTGTGTTACATCCATTTTCACTGCTGATCCCGTCTCTATGAACACTTTAGCGTGTGTGTAAAACTATGTATGTCTTAATTTGGAACCCAACAGAGGTAGATCCATTTATCAACCGAAGTGGCATACATCGGGTTAAGTAGATCCGGCTATGGAACCGGGTTGAGACTCGTATATTTGAAAAGCCATCTTATATTTGGAAGAAATGTCACTCATTCTGGGTTTTTAACAAGTCATAAAACTCATCTTTTTGTCGACGGTCATGTCATTGTCAATACATAAGAAACGTTGGTTGATGCATTTAATATAGAAAAAGTTCGTCATTTACAATCATGAACGATTCTTCTTGACGGCCATCTCCGTACATTACGATAAATAAATAAAAAAAGAAACATTAAAATACTTTTTGTTTTTTATTTTACTTCATCTAAAAAAATTCCTCTCCATCTTTATAATTCCTATGTTCTGCAATCAATTATTATTTTAAATTTTCATCCATGACCAATTAAAAAAAAGTTATTAACCCCAAAATTCTGAGTCTTTTTAAACCGGCCCAGGGGAAGAAGCTAAACCGGCCCAAAGTTAGTGGGCCGGGGAAGAAGCTAAACCGGCCAACATTTTTAATCTAAGAAATACCCTCGACCTCGATGTATTTATTATACACTACACTGCAGTCGTCTCTCAGATTTGCCGCTAGGGCTATTTTCAGCTGCTCGCCGTAAGAAATCGATCGGAGGACTTCATATCTTTGATTGCTTAACCAACTTCAGGTCTACAAATACAGTAAGTTCCTTTGCTTGCCAACTTCGTTAACAACAATTTCCGTTGATCAAAAGGATTCCGAAATTCATGTTTTGTGATTCGATTGCACTGCATGTTCTTACTTATGATGATCTTTCTTGTTGAATTTATGCTAATCAATGATGATTTATATCGTTTAATTCTTCATATAATCCTAGCTGGTTTTGCTCTAGTCTAAAACTTGTGTGGAAATTTCTGCAAGGAAATGAAAGTTGCACCATCATTTTGAGGTCCAATAGCCAAGTTTTGAAGAAAATTGATAGCTATATGGAATTGTATGTCAAGTAAAGCTTTAATTTTTGAAGATGTTGGGTTTGTACAATGTTATAACTTTAAAGTAGGGTGAAATTACTATAGTTGACTTCAAAAGTCAAGGTTTATCTTTCGTTTTGGGTTATTTTCCTTCCTTTAATTAGAATGTAGGGTGCCTCATCTTGGTTAAGTTTTAATCTAAAGCAATGGTTTGTCATCTTACAATTGCATGTAGGGTCAGATTGGCAATGGCAGACAATGGTTTAGTGAATGATGATACCAATGATCAAAATTCTCCACCTTTGGAGATTGTTAAGAATGAAGCATCCGTGGATGATTTGTCAAGGGATGTTCAAGAAACTCTCACACTTTCACAGAGTCACAAGTTTTGGGAAACACAACCTGTTGGACAGTTTAAGGATCTACGTGACACTAGCTTGCGTGAAGGCCCCATTGAATCTCCCACGCCTTTGTCTGAAGTAAAACAAGAACCTTATAATCTTCCCAATCTCTATGAGTGGGTCACTTGTGACATGGACTCTGAGGAGACATGTGCCGAGGTTTATAACCTCCTCTCAAACAATTATGTGGAGGATGACGAAAATATGTTCAGGTTTAATTACTCCAAAGAGTTTCTCCGTTGGGCCCTTCATCCTCCGGGTTACTATAAGAGCTGGCACATTGGGGTACGTGTGAAGAGTTCAAAAAAGCTTGTGGCTTTTATAACTGGCATTCCTGCCAGAATCCGAGTTCGCAGTGATGTTGTTAGCATGGCAGAAGTTAATTTCTTGTGTGTTCATAAGAAGCTTCGTTCAAAAAGATTAGCCCCTGTCATGATTAAAGAGGTTACCCGGAGGGTCCACTTGGAGAATATCTGGCAAGCTGCTTATACAGCCGGAGTGGTTCTTCCCACCCCAATAACTTCTTGCCAGTATTGGCACAGATCTCTGAATCCCAAGAAGCTTATTGATGTTGGGTTTTCAAGGCTTGGACCTAGGATGACGATGAGCAGGACAATGAAGCTGTTTAAGTTACCTGATTCAACGGTTACACCTGGTTTTAGAAAAATGGAGCTCCGTGATGTTCCTGCAGTCACCAGGCTGCTTAGAACTTACATGATGCAGTTTGTTGTTGCACCTGACTTGGATGAACTTGATGTGGAGCACTGGATTCTTCCAAAGGAGGATGTCATTGACAGTTATGTGGTTGAAAGTCCAGAGACTCACAAGCTCACTGATTTCTGCAGTTTCTATACCCTGCCCTCATCTATTCTTGGCCATCCAACTCACTCAACTCTGAAGGCGGCTTATTCTTACTATAACGTCTCAACCAAGACTCCCTTGCTTCAGCTGATGAATGATGCTCTTATTGTGGCAAAACAGAAGGATTTTGATGTATTCAATGCATTGGATGTAATGCATAACGAAACTTTCTTGAAGGAGTTGAAATATGGGCCAGGTGATGGTAAGCTTCACTATTATCTGTACAATTATAGACTTAAGCATATCTTAAGACCATCAGAACTTGGGCTTGTACTCTTGTAATTTCAGAAGTAGCCGACAAGGCTTTGGATTTTGTGTACCCATTTTTCCTGTTTTAGATTTTCATCATTATCTGTGTACTGTGGTTGGTAATTCGACCTTATGAATGAATTCATAAACACCCCTATAAGTAACTTGTATTTCTATTTCCGTTATCTGATTCTGGAAGGCAACGGTAGTAGATTGTCTATGTTATGATTCCCAGGAAAACACTGATATGTGGAATGGGTAGTATTTATTTTCCATGCTGAGAACCAATTATTGATGCAAATGCAGGGTGAGGTTCTTTATTAATGCTAACAACATTTTAGTGGTTTCTTTAATTTGAAGGTGCAGCCTGCAGGATCTCTATTGAGAATAATATGGTTACAAACTTACAATAGAGAGGATCTTGCCACATCATACTATACTATACTGTATGGCATTATTCTTGCCTTGCACAATTCTGAATGCCAACTTCTCCAGGTTGGCATTCTATTTTTAATTCCTTAATGTCTGAACCCACTTCAAGATCTGATTGGGGAGGGGCATCTCTCTAAAACGATTATTTGTACATTCATTGGTTTAAGCTTAAACCAATCATGCATCATCTTGGTTGGTTGAGTTTTTTGGGTGAAATAGATGATGAAGGGACCAAAGGGAAAACTTTGAGGTGCAAAAGTGGAAGTTAGAGGATAGTTTAGGGAGGAATGATGTAATTTAAACCTAATAAAGAAGGTTCTATCACGGCGTGGTGGGTTGGTTCGGTACGTAAGCAGTGTAACTTCACTTACCATATTACCTCCGTTGTACTTTCTGGAAGGAGATTAGAAAGACGTAATGTAAATTGTAATGTTGAAGTCATTGAGACATACCAAAATATTATTTAATAAAGAAGGTTATATTTTTACTCTTAACTAATATATAAGAGTCATTAAATTTGTTATTTGATTAACCAAAAAATGTAATAATCATATATATTTAAAACTGTGTGTCATATTATTTTGGGACTAAATTATTCAGATTAGAAGGGAAAATAATCTTAAATGATTCTTTAATTTAAAAAACAATTTATTAACTTATAATAAATTGATAAATATTTTTATAGAAAAACATAAATTATTTTAAATAAGTAATCTCATGTATATATATAATATTATAAGTTGATTTGAATTAATGGACATGAGACGAATAAAATATAATAGATCATAAAAGCCAACTAACACGAACCAGGAACGTTGACCCTCATATGATCTTTAGACTTTCTCCACATAAGACTCCCACCATCTATTCAAATCAAACCCGTTCAACATTTCCGATCGCCAAAAACCCTAATCCCACATCTTGTTACCCGCAAAATGCATGATTTTTGCTTTACGATCCCCTACGGGATGATAGTCTTCTGTGGCGGGATTATAGGCTTTGCAAGAAAAGGAAGCACCACGTCCTTGGCTGGTGGCGCCGCTACTGGTTTATTGCTCTTCCTTGCTTCCTATCTCAGTCTCAATGCCTTCCACAAGCGAAAGAACTCATGGTTCGGCTTCATTCTCGAAACTGGTATGTTCTTAGCATATGTGCTCATGGAAGCTGTTTGATGCAATCTTGATTTTGGTCTTTAGGTCATTTATGTTAGATCCATGAAAATTCTACTGATTTATGTTTGGTCTATCATTTTAAATCCCCCTAAAATGGACATTTCTTTGTCGGTGTCAGGTGTAATGTTTACATCACAAATATCACTTACCTGTTTGTTAGCAGCTTAATGGCAGTCACAGCTTTTTCGGTCAGCTATACATGGTAGTGGCTTAATGATATAGAAAGTGGCTTATTCAATAAGCTTCTAGGTGAGAGCCTTATGCAGTAACCAAGTTTTTTCCAAACCTGCCAATTCAAAACACTCTCCCTCCATCCATAAAAAAAACTCTCCCAAGCAAAACCCTTCCCAATTTATATACAAATGAATCAAAATGTTGACATTTTTATACATACAGAACTTGATGGAAAACCAACCAAACAACCCCTAAGTTTAGGTACTGAACCAACCACATGGTGGAATTGGTCCTACTTGAGATAGAACCTTCTTTAATACCCTGTGGTTATTGTGGCGATGGTTACTTAAAGTTTGGATACTTCACAGCTGTTTTTTGATTAAATGGGGGTTTTAAGTTTCATCTTGTTATAGTTCGTTTAATACTTGGGGATGGGGTTAAGCTCAATCTCCCATGTGGTGCCAGGAGAAAAGCAAAATCATACGATAAACTTAGATTTTGTAGAAACATGCCCATACTGTACTTGCTGTTTTAAATCCATATCATTATGATGTAACGTGTAGTTAGGTTTCTTTTGTCAATCTTCTTATTGCATTCTTTCAATATATATTGCCGGATTTTTTGTGTATTGCGTTTAGCAGACAGAAACATTGCCTTTTCTGTCTATTCGTAGTAGAGATACCTTTTAACTTTTTTTTCATCCTGTATATTCTTGAAATCAGTATGTGCTGCTGTTCTCACATGGGTTATGGGACAACGATACACCGAAACTGCCAAGATAATGCCTGCTGGTGTTGTTGCTGGTATCAGGTATGTAATTCAGAAGTTCTCTTTTGGAAAAAAGATTGGTGACATCTGGAAAGCCATGGATTTGGTTCAAATATTTACAATGTTCTTATATTTGTAGTAATGCAATCACACCTTTTTGGACATCCTAGTTCTTATATTTGTAGCAATGGAATCACAGATTTTCCTTTTCAGCAACATGCCAAGATTTTCTTTTTTATAATTTCAGATTCAAAATATGAAAAGGCCCTTCAATGGTAGATAAGGAATAAGTCAGAAGTAATTAACGTGTATTCTTTAAGTGCTGCTGCAAGCATAATCCCTTCAATCTCATGGAAACGTAAAAACAATTAGGTTACTGGTGTTTTAAAGTCGGTTGCTACAGTGGTCCATCTTTCGGTCATGTAACTTATTCGTCATCGATTAGAAGATTTAGGAAGGATCAAGTGGGTGCATAATAGTCATATATACTTTTGTTATCAGTATCATTTTCTTTTTGGTTATGTTAATTGTCATTAGTTAGACCTAGACAATTTAGGAAGGATCATTGAGTGGGTACATCACATCACATTATATACTTTTGGTATCGATATCTTTTTCTTTCTGGTTTATGATTTCATTGTATCACACTTTTTGATTGCACATTTGCTGCATGAATTAGCCCTCTGATCCTCGAGCAAAGGTGAAATACAAATTGTATAAGCCTGTAACACTCTTGTCTGTTGAGACAGATGTAGGGTCTGGATTACATCCGATGCTCCCAAGCTCTATCTTCATGTGGGATATACTGGGTTTGTTTTGTTTGGTTTTATATGCCTGTAACAACATAATTCCCTTTTTCTTTTCCTTCTTTTCCTTCTTTTCAACTTCAAATGTTCTGCATACTGCTTACACTCAAATCATGGAATGGCTTCTATCGCACACCACTTGTCATGCATGGAATTTGGCACAATATTGTTGGTTTCAGCTGAAAATGAGTGTATATATTGGTTTCTAATAAACTCGGCATATGTTTTCTTTGTGCTGCAGTGGTGCGATGACAGCATTTTATCTGTACAAGATTGCCACAGGAGGTAACCATTTTTCCACCAAGACTGAATGATGAGGGATTCTCTCTTGACTCTAAATGTAGTAGCTGTAAACAAACTGCAAATGTATTCTGAATGTTCATTGTGTATACCGGATACGGTGATGGTGTTTCATGAAAAAGAAAATTATGTTGTGCTTGTACCTTCGCATTTGCTCTATTCAATTAGTTATGTTATTCCACTTCTTATTTTTCTTCCGAAGGGTCAACATATGCACTTAATCCATATTTGAAAAATTAACCCACCGACCGACATACTTCTCTATGTAACACGAGTCTTGGTACGATCTTGGCAAGAATGGAATATCCGGGCAGTTCAGGTGCAACTTTGAAGTTGCTTATTGCAACAGATGCCATCTTTGTACTAACAGCAACCATTCAGTGAATTTCTTTTTAGTTCCTCTGCCTGTGGTTTTTCCCATTTTAGGTTTTCAACGCTATGTTTTACATGTCACCCTAAAGGGTAGAGCGCTTTTAGCATCTAGGACTAAAAGAATGTATACCGGCACATCCATCTTGTTAAGCAGCAGAATTACAATAAACAGTCTACTTTTGCTACATGTTTTGACACAATTAAATATATACAATGGTCCATCATGTCGTTTCAAAGTGTAAAATTCATCCTTTGCCATTAGATAAAGGAGAAATGAACTATGTCTATGATCCTACAAGTTTACCTACCGTTTATACAACAAACCTGTAGCTTCAGTACTACTAAAACCAAACTAACCCAGTAAATCCTAGACAGACACATGATAAGGTCTAGAGGGTAGTATGTAGCTTCAACAGTAATCGGGCCTTGAATAGTCTGGGGGAAGTGATGGGCAACTTTCTGTCATATGAGGGTACGGATCCATACTATTGTATCCAGGTAATTCCATTCGATACTTCCCTTTGATTTGACAGAATGGAAGCTCTACTGTGTCCCCTTCATTACACCACTTTGGCAGCCTACTCGAATCGTTTTCAAAAAAGTTTAGCATGTAAGCATCCTTTATCTGCATAAATTGTAAAAAGTTAATATATGTAAATATTTTGAAAAGAATAGTATATGCATATATATTATATATACATTGATGCATATACAGCATCAAAATATGCATTATGTCGATGCATATATACTATGTATGCAAGTATATATGCATTCATACATATAGACACTGAAAATTCATATATTGCATATGTATCAATTAGTTTTGCCATGGTCCAAGAACACAAGGGTGGCAATATGCTCCAATTGTAATCGACTCACCGTGAACTCAGTAACTTGAATTTGGCTTGCAAGATCTCCAAAGAGTCCTGCTTCCTTGTACATTTCAAGGACATAAGCAACACAAGAAGTCGATTTTCCATCAGCATATACCCATTCATCTTGTTCAGGTATAGCCAATAGTTCAGCAAAAGATGAACCACGCCTTTCAACTTCGACCAAAATTTCAGGAAGATCAAGCCCCTGCCAAAAAGACAAACTAACATCAAGATCAAGATGCACCACAATTCAAGAATGAAACACAAATTCCCAGTAGTATGCACACCTGAGTACCAAGCCGCTTATTTAAGGCTTCATTCCACATATTAGCAGCATATGCAGGCTGCAGATGATTCCACACGGTCATAACAGAAGCAACCTATACCATGATCAAGAATCCTTTAGAACTCAAGAGGGGGGAATGGATTGGATTGAAATCAAACGTTCAACGTTTAGGGTGATTAAGTACCAGATGAGCATCCAAAGGTGGTGGATAATTATCACTTATAGTGTCTATCCAGCTAAATATCAAATTATGATAACCATAAGGCAACCCTATCATGCTTTGTGCATACTCCCACGCAGCAGTCTCGTTAAACTTGGATCGAAGGTCAGGATGCAAAGGAAGCAATGCAATATGCGGATTAGCATCATCTTCGGTCAGCTCAAAGTTCCACCACTCATCCCATGGCAACAAAGCAATAACATCTTGACCCTATGATCAAAATGTGGATAACCAATAGTTAAGATATATGCAGACCTTACTACGGAGGGGTAGAGAGACTGTTTCCATTAAGGCCCCCAGTTTGTAAGAAGTTAAGACATTACCTCTTCATCTTCATGTCCAGATTCTCCAACCCATAGTTTTCCTTCGGCATCCCTCAAGCAAACAGCAGAATGACCCGCATACGCCCCAGATACCCATTTCTCAAGAGTCTCAAACCCGCCCCATCTACCACGAATTTTTGATATCGCAAGGAAGTCTCCTGAGTGGATGTCATCTACGGTAATGTTTGTTACCCATGGCTCAGGACGGGCTTCAAAGTTAGCTCCCATATGTTTCTTGAGAAAAGCAAGATTAGAACTTTCACCCCATCCAGTATTTGTGAACAGGGGGAAGACCTCCCATAATGCTTTTAGGGTGCCTAACATCCCTGCTTCCATGAGAAAAATGGCAACTCCCTTACGTTTTACCTTCCAAGAACAAAGAGACATTAGTCAACACCAATTCGTGGCCCATAAATTACCGAGAATAAACAAATGTGTAACTTACATATTCATACTCAGCTTTCCCTCCCCACTCGTCGAACTCAAGTGTATGCTCACGGGATAAAAAGTAATAGTCCCACGTCACACGATATGGAGTAGCAAAGACATAAATATCCATACATGTCCAACTGTGTGCATTGCTTACCTAAAATCAGAAAATGAAACATCAATCTGAATGATGGATTAACACAATCTGCAAGCAAAAGCAGCATCAAGACTTTCTTGAAATGTGGGATTTGGTTGAGTTTATAGACATGAATGATGGAACTTAAAACATTAGAAACACAAGTTTCGCGATATCCAGTAATTGTGTTAATCACATGATAATCAACCAAATCCAAATCACAATCCCCAAATTGAGAAGCAACCATGTAATCAATACCACCATATCATAACTTGTCTAATTTCTAAATAACAAGTCTAGAACTAAAGCCTCCTTGTTAACCAAGACATTCAACCAACACATAGGGCTTTCAATTAAGGTAAAACCAAAAACCCACGTGTGAAACAAATTAAGGTAAATCGATTCATCCAAATTGAAAATAATATCGTAATCTAGTTGGAATAAATGGAAATTTGTAGACCTTGATATGAAGAGTGCCTCCACCAAATTCACTACCACTTTTGTTGTGGAGCTCTAACCACGCAGTGTTCTGATAAAAGCAAGACCCCTTCCATTGCAAATCGGAATGATTTGAAATAGACGCTGCTCCGACGAAACTCGGAAGAAGATCGGAGGCACCTCGAAGAGAGTTGAGAAGAGGCCATGAAACTTGGCGGGGCAAAAGTGGGAGTATGTCTTGTGGACGGATTGGTGCTTTAATGGCTTCTACCTGTGAACTATGAGTACAGGAAACGATTAAGATAGCGATGAGGTCGATTAGAAAGTGGGTTTTGCAGATGAAGGAGGAAGAAGAAGAAGGGGATGCCATTGCGGGTGGATTGCAGATACAAAAATGGGTTGAAGCTTTCTTTGTTTATATCAGCATCGTCAACACTCCTCGTTGTTTTTTAAATCAAGATATTACTAGAATCCCCCCTGAGGTTCTAATCTGTTGTCATTTTCTGAAAATTGGATGACAAAAGAGCCCCGAAGGTATAGATTTCTATTTTTTACCCCAAGACTTGGTATAGATTTGTTTCCACCCCGTCAGGCTAAAGTCAGATAAGGTTTTTAGTGAATTAGAAATGAAGCTAAATAAATACTACCGTATTCATTTATATAGATGAGATGATGATGATGATGATGATGATGATGGACCATCAAACTTTCTTGTGTGTTTAAACTTTGTAGAAAACGTACGTAAACAGTTTTTCGGGTTCTAGAATTCATGGTATGTACCTTGAGTTTTGATGGAACGTTAAATTAACATTTGTTGTTGATAAATTTTACCTTTCTAGGCCTTATTTTCTTTTCTTTCAAAATATTTAATTACTTACATGGTTTTTTTTTTTTTTTTGCTTAACTTTTATCATCAAATGTAACAACTGTTTATTTCATACACTTGTATTGCATGATACGTGTCATCAATTGATTTTGATATGTCTGTCATCTTGTCATATGATACAGCATATCACAATATAACTTACCTCATCAGATCAAAATGAGTACAAAATAAACTGAAGGGACTAAAGTGAAAAGTCACTGATAAGTCTAGGGATGATATCGTCATTTCATAAACTTGTAACTTGTAAGCAAATCAGCAAGAGGCCTACAATTGCTAGGTGCACGACGTCAGCACCACAATATATCAACTTCAATTTAATTCAGTATTTCACGATACGTTTTATATAATATTACTTTGTTTAAAAAAATACATTTGTTTTACAAACAATCGCCTTCGATTCCCCTCCAAATTCTACAAATCAAAACAAGTCAACACAGAAAATTGATAGTCTTCCATTTTCAAAACACCAACAAATAGAATTTGAAGTTCAGTTATCATGTGAAATTATTTCATTTCTGTTCTTTTAGAAAATTCAAACTGTGAGGATGTTGGAACACTGAAGAAGATGGGAGACAATCAAAGAGTCTCAGATGCCACAAAGGAAGAGACAGAAGACACACAAGGGAACCAATAACGTCGTTTGCCATCTCTGTGGCCTTCATCGATCATCGCAAGTCCCTCCTGCACATAAATATACACAGATGAGTCCCCCAAATCAGATGAATCCATATGAACAAGGCAACAGTAATGAAAGCAAGCACTCACATCTAATAGAGTTTCAAGGGCATCCGTGGCACGACCACTGGACCATGATAGCCGTCTCTCTACTTCCTCAACTGTCACAAAACCTTGAGCCTAAAAACCAGCAAGTCATAGAAAAGGTCAGCAAAAGGGTAGTCATACATAGATACCAATACGAAGAAAACTATGCATAGTAGTATTCAAGAATTTTATATTCCTGTATGCAGAATCCTCAATTTCATATTTTTCAGTATATTTAAAATTATCCATGATCTAATAAATAAACACATACATATATATACACACACGTACGCATGTGTATACATAATATCTAGCTTGCAGATATGGAGCAGTAAGGAAAGTGTTGATCTTTCCACAATTAGATCCTTTTTCCTAATTATGTGCAAAACGTGTTGCGATTATATACAATCAAGACTCTTCTTTTTTCTTCCTTTTGTTATGGAGTGAAAAACAAAAGTGGGATTCTAAATATGAAGCCTAATCCCTTTCTTTTCTCATTTGCACTTTAGCTTATTTGAAGATAGCTCGTTTGAGTAGGAAGATAACAAGTCCTTTTCACAAAGGAGCATAAACTTGATTTCAGATGATTCAAATCCAAACCAACTGGCATTCATTGACTATTCAGCATATGAATGACAGTCAAAAACATTAAACAAAAACTTGCTTTAATGACGCAAGAAGGTTGGATGACAAGAAATAATGAAGCCATTTGGAAGGAATGAAGCTAACCTGAGACAACTCTAGAATTTCATTGTGATCTTTCTTCAATTCAGTTGGGACAGAGCGAACAAGCTTTCTTTTCCCAACAGTAATCACTTCAAAACCACTCCCCAACACCTAAAGATCAAAGTAACCATTCAAAGTCTGTCACCAGATAAGGTACAGGACAAAGTTGAGAGCATCTATTAGCACTGTTTTGATGACTTCTATAGAACACAAACACAGTACCTTCAATTTACCAATCGCACGCAAGCAATCATCTTCAGACACTACCTCACGAGCACCCTTTCGTCTCTGACTTAGAAGCTTGCAGAGTTCCTCCAAGTTAATCAAACCCCCATTATGGGGTCTAGTAGCCAAGCAGACATCAACAATTTGCACACCTGATAAGCCATATAAGTTTATTTGTTTCTATGTGGAAGCATATTGATAAAGAAACTATGAGAAGTTTAGAACTCTAACCCAAATATAGTTATTTATTTAGTTTATCAAGACCAACAACCCCAACAACAACAACAACAATAATGTATAAATCGTTCCGTGCATGTTTTAAATATCACATGACCTCTTTACATCCCCAAATTAAAGTTTAAAGTGTTGTGCATATGAAAGATCCCAATAATGGATTTCACTGTTGTGCTGGAAATATCTGAAACAGGTTAGGGAGGCAGAGTCTTGGATTGAGGGTTTTGCTCCATAGCTTTCAGACAATTCCTCAACAACAAAAAACCATTTTTCACAAATATGCCAAGAATGCATGTAAAAGTGGTTAACCAACATTTGGAAATATTAAAGCAGCGAATACATGATCCAGCAAACTACAGGAGGATGTAATATTAAGCACTCCCACAGAAAAGAAAAAAACAATTCTAAATTTTCATTATCATTAGATCTCATTGATGATTGATCCTGAACAAAGATATGAATCTAAGCAGAGCTCCTCAAATCTGGGAACTCCATAGGTAGATATATGCGAACACAGAAGCAGCAATAAAAATTTCTACTTTAAAGATATAAATCCAATGGTCTCATCTTAAACCAGAGGAGCAGAAGCAAAAACAAGCACCTACCAAGTTCATAATAGAAATCACCGATTCCTAGGAGCTCAGCCCAAAAACCTTTATTTGATGCCAGTGGGTCTACTCCTACTTTCGCACACATCTCGTGAAACTGTGATCTGAAAGCAGGGTTCTTGCGAATATCATTCTGCACTTAGTATAAGAGTGGGTAAGCAGTGAGAAAACTCGCAACTTTTCTTTATATCATTACAATTGCTGTTAAGTTTTCTTTCCATTATGAAGCACCTGCCACACATATTATACAGTTACACTCACTTGACAATCAGAAATTCATCAAGATCAATTCTTTGCAGCTCAATCATAAAGAAAAGGCTCAAATACATACTAAAAGTTGAATGACCCAAGAATAAAGATAAAAGTTAATCCATCAAACCAAGTGATGGAACACAAACATTAAATCCAATAAATTAATCAGAAAATTAGGGGCAAAAAAAGATCAAAGTGGAGCACCTTATGTTTGCGAGCAAAATCTTCTAATTGAGAACGAAACGTGGAAAGCTGTTCCTTCATAAGATCGGTTCTTAACCTGGCCACATTTTCTCCCAGTAACCGGTATTGATCCTGATGCACCGATTTCAAGAAAAAGAAAGAATCAACAAATTATACATGAATTCATAAGCAAAAAAAAAAGGAAATTGATACGAATACATAAATTGATGCTCGTATGGAAGTAAAAAAGAAGGGAATTTGATACGAACCCTAGCGGCGGCGGCATTCTGTAGACCACCAATTCCTGCTCTCCGTCTCATTTTTCAATCACAGAATCCGAAATCTCCAATGAGTTTTGGATAACGATTCCAATTTCCAAGTGGGTTTTTGGTGAATCTTGGTAATCGATGAAGACGTTGACGGAGGCACAGGAATTCAGCTGATTCTGATCTTCGTTTAGAGAAATCATGATTAATTGTATGGCAAGAATCATAAACAAGAATCAGAGTGGCGCAGCGGAAGCGTGGTGGGCCCATAACCCACAGGTCCCAGGATCGAAACCTGGCTCTGATATTTGGAGTAGCTTCTGCGTTTTATTTTTATGTTTTGTCAAAATGTTCTCCTTCAACTTTCATGAATGTCTACGATTTGTCTTTCTTGTAAAAATTGTGACAAAATCAGTATCGATCAATTTTTAGTTATATATTTATACTTATAATAAATAAGTAATACGTGTCATCTTCTGATGAGTCGTGTTTTTCTTGTTTTTCCACCTAAACACGTATCCAAACACAATTTACATTAATGGTTTAATTAGACTCATTTGAACGTATCTAGACACAATTTACATTAACAGTTCAATTTTACTTATTTGGTTGACAAATGTCCTCTTATTCAATCAATCCCACTAATTTAGGATGCAATTATTTTATTCTTGGGTTAAATATTCATTTGGTAACTGATTTTTGGAAGAAAAAAAATGATGTTTACTTCTAAGTTTAAACTCAATTTACTGATATAGTTTCATTTCTAAATTCAATTTTATTTTAAGGTTAACTTCATTTTATTCTAAATTCAGTTTACTGAAAAGTTTTATTTCAGAGTTATTTCAAAAGAACAAGTCTGAAGTCATTCTTCAGAGTTAGCTCACCCCGAACTCTGAAGTTTGCTTTTTCAGACATAGTTCACCCGAACTCTAGAGTCTGAGCTCTGAAGTCTTTTTTTTTTTCAGACTTATAAGTCTGAACTCTGAAGTCTTCTTTTTCAGACGTAGAAGTCTGAACTCTAAAGTTTCTCTTTTCAGACTTAGAAGTCTGAACTCTGAAGTTTTCTACAATTCTGAAGAGTACAAGTCTGAAGAGTCATTTTTCAAAGTTAGCTCACCCGAATTTTGAAGTCTTTTTTTTTTCAGACTTAGAAGTCTGAACTCTGATTTAATGGAATTGATTTTATACTTCAAAGTTATTTCAAGAATACAAGTTTGAAGAGTCATTCTTCAGAGTTTTATTGTTATTTCCATAGTACAAGTTTGAAGAATCGTTCTTCAGAGTTAGTTCAACCGAACTCTATAGTCTTCTTTTACAAATGGAGCACCATGCAGAGCCCTGCATAGTGCATACAAAGCTTCTGTCTTGCCTATACAGAACTCTAAAGTCTGAAGAGTTTTAGTTCAAAGTATTTCAAGAGTACATGTCATGTAATAACCTTATTCATGACTTTGAAGTTAAGACTTAGACTTAGTCTTGTAAGCCAGATCCCCACTGGTTGGTTTGACTTTTGGATGACTTTGCTTCTGGTTGTTTATTTAAACTTGGGAAAATAATTCAAATCCATCATAAAGGAACTAGAGGGTCTCTAGTTGTAATTGAATTCAATTTACTGATATACTTTCATTTATAAATTTCATTTTAACTAATTATTGATATAGTTTCATTTCTAAATTCAAGTCTGAAAAATCATTATTCAGAGTCATTGTTCAGAGTTATTTCAAGAGTATTAGTCTAAAGTAGTATCGTGCTTTCGATGATCATTCATATTTGTAAGATAAGTTCCTAACATGATTTAATTTTTTTAAATTACCCCGTGTAATACACGGAATCGAACCTAGTGTGTGTGTGTGTGTATATATATATGATTATGAATATTGTTTGATGCTTTGATATTACTTAAAACTCGTGGATGGATCCAATGTAGAGCCTACAATTTCCCGTGCCACCGTATTGTTCATCCGTTGTAGTGTAAAAATTCTAGGGTCGTGAAATGCGTCACCATACTGTTTTGTTGTGTCACCTTATATATTTTGAAACTACAATGAGAACACAAGTTTTTCTTGATAGAATTGGTTTGTAAGGCTTTTCTTCTATCCTAACATGAGTTTGAATCATGTTAGTGTCATTTTTTTAGTTTTAACTTTTAATTTCAAATTTATTATGTTTTCAAAAAAACAATACGATAAAAGACTTGAACACTATACCTTACATACGAAAATAAATGAACTAAATAACAGATCAATGATGATTTGGTGAAAAATATTGTTTATATTTGTTTGTTATAATCAAAAGGTATCAACGTTTAAAAAAAATTATGGATCTGTCCGTGTTAATACTCATCAAATCAAGACTTGAAGTCATTGGTTGCTCGATGCACGGTAATTGCTTGACGTTTATAACTTGAACAAAGTGTTTGTATCTTAGCGATTTCGTATTGTTTCAGATTTTGAATTGAACATTAATGGCTTTTTTTTTTTTTTTTTTTTGCATTTTGTATCTTACTTTATAAGTCTGTCCCAAACAGAATTATTGACAGCCAAATAAGTTGGTACCCCGCCTACCAATCAATACGATATCAAGTTTACACCTTCTTTCTTGTACTCCAAATGAAAACCCATTTGTAAATCATCTAGGAAGAAAAAAGGGCCCTCTTCCCGAAAGCTTCGTGGGGCTACGGACAAAGCTAGGTCAAGGCTATCCGGCAGAAAAGGATTTTACCTCATCAAGTAATCATTTTGTGGGTTTGGATCAAATTTTGAGAAAGCTTTAACGGATCCCATTCCATATTGAACCACAACCATTAATATAAAGAGTAAGCTACGATTATCATCCACGTAGTTCGTTATGGTTTGCAATTTATTGTTGTTTTCATCTAACTCCATCAATGGTTTCAAAAGCAAATTGTAAACAATAACAAATTGTAAACCACATGGATAGAAACCGTAGCAAGGGAATGAAAATAGCAATTTTCAACAGATCAGAAGGATGTACAACATAGGTTAAAATAAAACTGAAACCTTTGCAAACCACCATATGCCATTGCCATCAAAGAGAAGTAGAGCTGACCCAAGAAACTAAAAAGTGAAAATCAAAATTCTATCTATGAGAGCTTGAGATTAAAACAAGATATTGAGAGCTTCAATTATGCATCATCTGCTCCAACAAGATTTATATCTACAAGGTCCACCCAGCAAACATGTTGGAATGAACCATAGGATATTTATTTCTTTCAATGTCATGCCATGATCGGACCACGTTCGATTCTCATGGCTCCAAAAATGGCTCTTTACCAACTCCAAAATATGTCATTTCAAGGTAAAGATGACAAGTTGAAGAAACACAATATTGGTTTGGTTTTTGAAACATACCTTGGTACGGTATCCTTAATCTAACAATTTTGGTAACAGATGCCGGATCCTGGCAAGAATAGAAGCCATCTTGTGATTCAACATCAAGAATTTAGCTTCATTCATGAATTGCCAACAGAATGAATTCCCAACTCTCATCATGGTGTTGGGAAGTAAAAGGTAGTATCATTGATGGAAGAATTTAATCAAAAAGCAGCTACTTGAGATGTAACATGAACAGAAGTAGCAACTAGTAAGCTTAATTGCTTGCATGTAAGCCTGCAATTGCTGATGATTGTTGAAACTTCAAATCTTTCTCATGCTTAAAAGCCCTGTCATATATCTAAAAAGCAATATCAACAATTTACAACCGTTGCATCATGTCTAACTCTAACAGGAGGATTCTGTAATCATCCCTACAGAAGCTTCAAGTTCTCAAAGCTCTAAACAGCACTTGACAACAATTGTATATTTAGAACAACCAGTACAAAGCTAGTTCCTTATAAGGGAAAGAAGTAAGATTTATGGTCTTCAAAAGACTCGTAATTTCATCAAAAAATCACACATGGGTAGCAATGAGATTTGATCAAATACAAACCCTTGATGCAAGACTAAGATAAACAGAAATAAATTTTGCAAACATTTGGTTAATTAACAACAAAGGAGTACCAGATCATTAGCCCACAAAACAACATCTATAAACTAAAGATGTTTTATTATGAAAAATGGAAGTGCTGCTATTAGCCCACTGTGATTTTCTTCCTCTTGGAGTTGATTGTCTCAATGAGGTATCTATCATTCGATAACTTTCGTCTTTCAATTGAAGAACGGTATGGAAGAAAAGCAATGTAACCTGCAATTGCAACTGAATACCCTCCTCTTACTTTTTCCATTAGAAATCCCCTAACCTTTTTAGTAGATTGCGACATCTTTTTCAGTTCCATCCAAACCTGCTTCTGTGTGAATCTTCGTGGAGAAAGAATTGCCGGTTCACCAGCTACGGCATCGGTGGGACCAACCATATCACTAAACCTGGCGGCAGCTCGCTCTTTCATCGCTGGTTCACCAGCCACCAGATCCATGAAGAACCTTTCCAACATCTGTGTTTTGATAAGTGATTCTCCGGCCGTTGTATCCATAAATCCGACCTTATTTTCAAACCGGGAGAAGCCAGGGTTGTTGGGAACGCCTCTAAGCTCATCCGCCGTGGTCATTTTAGGGGCCCCAATTCCTGCATCCACCAAGTAAAGATCGTCCTTGAAGCGTGAAACTTGAGATCTTAAAGCTTTACCACTGGATAGGAGAAAACTAGAATTGGATTTAGGAAACAATCGACTCATGTAGATCGTCATCGGTGGTAATGTCCTCCGATGAACGGAAATCGAGCTGAGGGATTGAAATATGGAATTAGGGTTTTCAAGCGTAATCAAACATAATGGAGTTGGGCCTGACAGGAAACTTAAAAAAAAAAAAAAAAATGTGTGATTGAAACATGAAATTAAAAAAAAAAGAACTAAAAATAATAAAATTCACCATTTGAAAGGGAAAATTGCATTTATTTACTTCAAAAATAGCCTTTTTTTTATTAGAAAAATTTGTGTGACTATTTTACTTTCACAATAAAATGAATTCAACTGATAAATTTTCCATTTAAAATTATTTTATTTAAAAAATCATTCACACACACACACACATATATATATATATATAGAGGGAGGTTATTTTACAACCTTCCCCATTCCTACACCCAATACAACCATCATCTCATCCTTTCAATTCTTAATGTATGGTCAAGATGAATTGGATGGCAAAATTGTAATAAAAGGGAAAAGTATATTGATGCGCCTGATAGATTGAGGGTAACCAAGGGTAGGATTGGAATTGGAAAACTTAATCTATTATAAGAAGGGATTCAATGAAATCRTGAATGCGATAATCACTCTACTGTAGAAGACAAATAGCGATATTCATTGAAGCAAACGATTGACGACTCTGTAGAAGAAAGAAATGGYCGACGAGGTTCAACCGGGAATTGCCATTGYAGCAAATCGAGGTAATGGTTTGATTGATTGCATTTAGTACAATGTTGTTCCAATAACCTTATTGTTCGGTATCCCCGTGAATCAGTTCGGAAAAGGAGCGAGAGTGTAGACCTTGAATGTTTTCACTGAATATTAAGATGAAGATGAAGCAAATCCTGTTCTTTTAGATGAAGATGAAGATGAAGCTGATGATTTTGTAATGAACCCAGTTCATGTGCTAGTGAACCCAGCTGCATTACGAAATGCCGAACCAGTTATCCCAGCCCAAGAATCAGTGGAGTCAACATATGTAGATGGTTAGTAGAATATCTTCACCTAACGAATTCTTCTATCAATACAAATAAGGACATGACGATGCAAATTGCTCCAACGTGAACCTGGCTTCATCACTCTTCTTCACTGTCATTTTACCTGTTGTCCCTTGTTAGGTTATTATACATTAGGCATTACCATTCCAATAATGAAATAAGGCATATATCACTTAGAGTGTAGACCTTAAATGTTTTCACTGAATATTAAGATAAAATTGCATATAAAATAAAAACAGACATGCATAAAGTACTCTAACTGCCAGCAGCTCCAAATACCCAACACAGATATCAGTCAGTATGTACATAGCTGTATTTATTCTTCACAATTTGTTCCCAAAATCAAAACTTTGAATGACATTTGACTCAGTGATCTACTAAGGTTTTGATCATGTTGGTGAAATTTGCATAACTTGATTGATGTATTTTGTTCTTGGCTATAGTGAATCTAGATTCAGTTCGAAATGCTGAAGAGGTTCGTCCAGCCCAACATCCAGAGGACTCAACATATGTAAATGGTTAGTAATGTTGAATACTGTAATGTTCAATTTCATCGAATATCTTGACCTAACGAATCCTTCTACCATCACAACTAATGACTTACCAATCAAACTTGATGCACCATGAACCTGGCTTCATCAATCTGGATGTATTTGCTATCATTAACAACTTTAATTAGTTAATCACACTTAATTGGCCACCTAGGAGTTACGCATCCTTTACCACTTGGATTAGCGTTTCATTWTGTATATCGTTTTGAAATTTAACTTGATGGGTRTATTTGCTRTCATTTGTAGTGAACCAAGATGCAGTTCATAATGCCGAACAAGTTCGTCCAGCCCAACATCCAGAGGACTCAACATATGTGAATGGTTAGTTATGTTGAATACCATAATGTTCAATTCATTGAATATCTTGACCTAACGAATCCTTCTACCTTCACAACTAATGACATACCAATGAAACTTGATGCACCATGAACCTGGATTCATCTCCCTSGTTCACTGTCGTTTTACCCRGTGCCCMTTGTTGTCATTAGTTTAGTATACATTATGCATTTCTCTAATTATTCCGATATTAGTTTAAGGCATATAGAACTTAGAGTGTAGACCTTAAATGTTTTCACTTATTATTCAGGTTGTATGATTTCATTACTAATAAGGTTTTGATCATGTTRGTGAAATTTGCATATAAAAATGAAATAGATAAGCATAATGTACTCCAACTGCCAGCAGCCCCAAGAACCAAACACAKATATCAATCAATATTTCCATATGTCTATCTATTTTTCACATCTTGTTCTCAAAATCAAAACTTTTACTGGCTTTGACTCAGTCTTCTAAAGATTCATGCTTAGGAATGCTGAAACACCCCCTAGGCAGTAAGAATCGTATAACAACTTCAATTAGTTAATCACACTTAATTGGCCACCTAGGAGTTAAGCATCCTTTACCACTTGGATTAGCATTTCATTATGTATATCTTTTTGGAAGTTAATTTGATGGGTGTATTTGTTGTCATTTGTAGTGAACCCAGATGCATTACCAAGTAGCGAACCAGTTCTTCCAGCCCAAGATTTAGAGGACTCAACATATGTAAATGGTTAGTAATGTTGAATACCGTAATGTGCAATTCATTAACGTTCAAATGCAATATCATTAGTTTCACAACCTGTATGTGCCACATTAGCGRCCTCTCTGTTCATACATGATGAARYTAATGCTCTTTTTGCTCCARCATCAGTCTCTCAAAAAAATGGTATGACAGTCAACATTAAAAGCTTATACGTATTATAGATTTCAAAGCAAAGCTTACAAAATAGGTGGTACACAAGAACACATTTTGTTATGTATTAATCTCCCTTCATGATACAAAAAGCCCCGATAGAWAACATGTGTGTATCCCAAAGTAAATGATATATTTGCTTGGTTAGAATTTGGATGATGAAMTTGTTGCATCTTTTGAATCTGCTRCTTCTTCTATGGAAGTAGTGTGCTGTTGATCGTCAACAACTCAATCAAATCATAATTTCAAAGTGAACCCAGGTGCAGTACAACAGACAGCCTTTTATCCGATAAATCTTAACCCGATAGGCTTTCGTTCTTAGTAGAGTGMTGCATATGTAAGGAGACARACARCTTCCTAATTTTCACCTCAGTAGTTGCCTTTTGCATTTGAAATGTATCAAAATGAAAAAGTAGTTCGTCCASTACAAGAAGCTAAATGCATTTTTTTAGTATAGATAATTTAAAGGYTAATTTGGATAGAAAGTGTAATATGGTTGCATTATTGTTTCGGGTTTTTATGTTGATGATCGGTGTGCAATTTGAGATGTTAATACGTGAATAGGTTCGTCCTCTRTAAATTTGAATTTCATTCCGTTTGTGCAGCAAAGATTGATGATCAGGCATTTGAATGCRGTTGGACATCTAGCGGGGAGASAACTAGATGAAATAGGCCAAGAAAGGTTGAGGATAGATTGGCAGACACAAAACAACTTCAATGATTGTGGCGTGTTTGCAATGAGACACATGGAGACGTACATGGGAGATGTGCGAACATGGAAAACTGGCCTGACACAAGAAGGAAAACACAAGAGATCCAAATAGCCTCCCTCAGAATGAAATATGTAGCAAAATTATTGGTGAGCAACTACAATAAGAAGAAAGAATATGTCGTTAAGGAAGTTGAGAAGTTTCAATCAATGGATGAAGCCATACGAAAAAAGTTAAGAAAACATGCTGACAATACAAAGACTGAGAGACTTCGAATCTGATTGATTGATGTTCTTTTATATTTTTCTCATGTAGACGGTTTTAATAACTTGCTTTTGGTATTGAATTTTCTAGTTTGTTTAAACATTATGTTATTGGCATGTTCGACGTTATGAAATGTATATGACATTTGATGAAATATATTACACACACATTAACAGGTTTCAAGAAAGAACACCGAAAATCTATTCTCCTATATGTTTATGAAACCTGATTTACCATATAAGACTATATGTTACAGTGCATTCAAACATGTTTATGAAACCTGATTCACCAAACCAAACAGCATGTTACATTGCATTATCATATAGGTTCATTAACAGCATGTTACATTCAATTTAGGTTCATTATCAGATTGTTACAGTGCTTATAAAAAAGCATCTAAAACACTTGTTTATGAAATCCGTTCGTATAAAAAATGATTCATTATCGTATATATAATTTAAAATGCGATAATCACTCTTCAAATCATGTGTTTAGAACATTACTGAAACACGTTTCATTAACATATACACTTCTGAAACAGTTTTGATTAAACAACAGCATTGCTCAACGATGAAAGGAAATCAATACCTTCATATTCATTGCTCAACGACGCAACGTCATCATCGACAAAATCTACAAAAACTCCGTCGTTGTGCTCACGTAATGTTTCGTTTCGATCGTTACAGCTATCTTCATTCCTCGTTGAATAATTGCATTGATCTTCTATTGTTTCATGATTAACTGCGGTTGCATTTTCACCACCATAATCAAAACCTTGACAGTCGTTCATGGAATYGAAAACACTRCTTTCTTCGACGATATCCTTACTGAAAGTCTCGTTGAATGACATATAATCCATAATTTTAATATTGGGTTCTATAAAACTACTGAAGAAACTATAAAACTATTCAATTCCAAATCAGTAATGCGAAGAAACTATAAAACTATTCAATTCCAAAAAGAAATTGACCACCATTGTTTAAGTTATGAAATCAGTWATGTGATAATCGACCAACAGGTGCCAAATCATTTGGTTTAATTTATTATTTAATTTYCATAACTGATGAATGAATCACCATAAATAGATTATCATTTATTTTTAATTAAAAATACTTATAATAATCTAAATTTAGTAAATGACATATTTAACCTTATCAATTAAAAAATAATTAAAAAAAAAAGAAATTCATTGATTGGTTGAAAAAAGGGTTGTATGAGTTGCAAGAATAGGGTGAGTTGTATTTGAAATATACCCTATATATATATATATATATATATATATATATATATATATATATATATATATGCACATGCTTGTATTATTTTTTATTACTTTGTTAATTACTCATACTACTTTCTATACCATAAGATCTTTTTCTCTTTATAAGTTTCTATTACAAATCTTTCTACATATGGAGTTTGTTGGATTACAGAACTTGGTTTTAGATAATGAAAGTTGGGTTGTAAAAATTAGGATATGTAGGTTGTGGGAATCTTTGAATACAAAGANAAAAATACTTATAATAATCTAAATTTAGTAAATGACATATTTAACCTTATCAATTAAAAAATAATTAAAAAAAAAAGAAATTCATTGATTGGTTGGAAAAAGGGTTGTATGGGTTGCAAGAATAGGGTGGGTTGTATTTGAAATATAACCTATATATATATATATATATATATATATATAATATAATATAATTTTTTTTATTTGCATTAATTTTTCATTCTGAATTTACAATTTCCGATTGCATTGCACAAACATACAACTAATTATGGGTTGTTTGGTTGGTTTTGCATAATGCTCTCCTTAGAAGCTTACGGAATAAGCTCTTTTCTATATCATTAACCAAAGAATCAAATATAACTGACCGTATGAAAAATGATTCTCAATTGAGTTGCCAACAAACAGTTGTATATAGATATAAAAAGGGTAGAGGTGGATTAACTAAACCGGCTTCTTTATATCAAAATCAGGTCATATCATACATTGAAAATGTAACAAGCAAGTCCGAAATTAGTAGGTAGCTGCATATTTAGTCTACCCTTGTGCATTTAATCTTGTAATCTAATGAGAGTAGTTGATGCAAAGTGTTTTATGGTGTATGGATGATCAAGCTGATATCCCTGTTGCTTCCTTTGGTATCAAAAACAAGAAAGCAACCGGTATAAATGTGCAGATGACTTCAATGCCAATCCCGAAACCAAGATTATCAAAAGAACCCGAAGAGATGTCTAGAACCGAAGCCAAACCAGCACCAACGAATGAACTCATTGTCGATCCAAAGTTGTTTATCGACATGAATAGTGCAAACAGAGTCCCTTCTATTCCTGGGGGGCACAGTTGTCCTGATAAGATCAAGAAAGGCATGAACCTGCACTCAAAGTCAAACAACCAAATCTATTACTAACAACATCAACATCGCAGCTTCATGACATCAGCTTTTTCTTCCTGATCATGAACCAGTCCATATGGGTCCCGCGAATGCCAAATGACCTCATTTTGTTTTTCTTTAACAATGTTTGAGGCTCTAATGGTTAAAACCTATAACCCATATGCCACATGAGGTCTTTTCACTTTGTGAAGATTGTTCACTTAAAAATGGGGGGATGGAAATGAAGTTACATACTTGAATTGATGGACTGCGTCTGAGAGAGCAGACCCAAATAACACCAATATTTCATCGGATATGCCAAATGGAACGTGTAGTCTATAAACCAATACTACATCTAGAAGTGTCAACAGTGAAAGAGTAACATGAGCAAACCTGCAAATGGATCCCGGATTAAGATCAATTAGCAAGCTTACGTGAGAATCTACATCATCCATACGGGTTTTGTCATATAAACTTACATAAGAATCTTTCTTAACTTCATCTTCTTTAAATAGCGATTGTAAGTGAAAGTTCCAAGCATGAGGCCCATCCAACCGATAACGCGTGATGTACCCAGAAAGGAAGCATCTAGATTTAGAACTTCTGTCTGGTAGTAGAACATGACCGTTGAAAGGTTTGGAATCGTCACCTGCGATAGGAAAAACCAACCCATTGGTCTGGTTTTCCCAATAATCTGAATCAGGATTAAGCACAACCAAAATAACTGCAATCAACCATAGAGAGTTGAAATGATCAATAATACAAGGCTAGGGGCAGGTTCATTTACGAACGCTAAATACACCCTGTAACCACCCTTTTTGTGAGAATTCATGATGAATATTATTAATCATGAATATCTGCCACGACATTCATCATGAATATTTTATCATGTTATTCATCATGAATACTCAGAAAAGGGGTTTCCTGATCAGTTCCTAAATATTTAGTGTTCTTAACTGAACCTCCCTGTCCAAGGCTATATTTGTCTTTGATCATTTAACGTTTTCACTTTGTACCTCAGGATAACTGGGCGACGAAAAGCTTTGAACAAAGTATAACCAGCCACTTTGAAAGATTGAAACCATTGTGATGGCAGAGATCCGTCTTTTCCAGGTATTTTACTTGTATCAGATGTTAATTTCTTGCTACTTTTATTGCTTCTCTTTCTCATCAAAGTACCTGGTTTAGGCATGTCGGTTGATGATCTATCTTCATCTGATACATTTTCGTGATGTATGTTGGTGTCATTAGAAGTAGAAAATTCAGGCAAATGTGAACTTCCTATAGGATTTTCCGTCACAAAACCACATGAAAATAGCTGAATTGTTGGCAAAACGGAGAAAAGCAAGAATATGCTGCCCATTTGAAAGTTACTTAGTGCATAACCTCCGAACAAACTCCCACAGATTCCACCAACAGCCATTGTCATCCATGATAGTGATTGCAGGTCGCCAGCGAATTTAGCTCTGAATGAAAGGAATTGCAGAAATAAGAGAATATGAATGTTTTTAGACAACAAATACCGATTTGGATTAAAAGAACATACTTTTCCTGTCTTGCTGCCTCTGCAATCATTGCATCAATTACAACATCTGCCATTGCAGAGCCCAGATTTTGTAATAACAAGAAGATCATGAGTTGATGTCTGGAATTTCTAATGGATTCCTGTAGGCCAAGAATCACCCATGGAAAGAGGGAGAGCAGTGTGGCAATGACTAAATAAGGAATCCTTTTCCTTCCTTTTACTGGAATACAATCTGAAAGAATTCTGCACCCAAAATGGGCAATAATAAATACATCCATCGTCCGATCCAGACATAGAAGCCATATTTCTTTGCTAGCAAATTAACCATTAAAGTTGTCCTTACATACCCATTTGACAACCAGCTAATTGATTATAATTTGGTGCAAAAAGCGTATCTTTCATGCAATAGTGAACCCAAAATGTTCAATTGTCTGTTTCAACTTAAAAGTTGATGTCAATAGAGGTCCAAATTTAAAAGTAACGAGTAAGTGTAACAATAAGATAAATACCCGTATATCGGTTTTATGCTCCATGGAAAGAACGAAATGGATGTTACGAATTGAGAAGCCGATGGCGATAGCTTTAATCTGTCTTTCAGCTGGTAGGAAACTGCTGTCCATACAAAAGATCTAAAGCCCTAAAGGGAAAAGATAACGGAAAAGCAGATTAGATGAGTTAGAAAGAAGAAGCCAAATGGTGTATGCAACTTAAAATCTCATAAATCCAGGTCTCCCTCCGACGATCCAGAAATGAAACTTGTTTGGCATTTGAACAAGTCGGAAGTAAAGTGTAAAAGAAAGCACATGTAATGAGTTGTTTCCACATATGGAATTCCAACAACATTCATGTAAATTTCTGGATTCTGAATAAGAAGAAAGAGGGTATAACTATAACATTTGTAAGGAAATCTTGAAAATACGCGGAACCCAAATGAAAAACAAAGCCTTGTATGAATGGCGATGAAAAATAGGAAAAAGGGAAAGGCGGTAGTGATGGAAATGGAAATGGAAAACCTGGGTAAAGTAAATGAAGCAGACGAGCCAAATAAAGGAAGCACCGAATGTGATGAGCAGCTTTTTAATCATTTTGGATTTGGGGGATTCTTTCTTTGGACCTTCATATCATATCATATCATATCATATCTGGAAAGAAATGAAGAAGAATGCGTTTCTGTTTGCTTGCATTTCCTACTCCTTTCTTTTTCTTTTTTTCTTTCAACCGTTTTCTTGCTGACTCCCCCTTTTGCGTCACCTCCACCAATCACGTCTCTCTCTCTCTCTCTCCCTCGTCACTGGAAATATCAAACGTACTAGTCAACCATAAACATCAAAAATCAAACTTCAGTTTCGATTTTGATTTTGTTTTTGTTATAAGACCAGACCAGTGTTGTGTTGTGTTGTGTGCACCTCCTTGCTAATTTATTTTAAGAAAAAAAATATATCCATATATCAATTATTAAACTAATAAAAATTAATATTAAACTTATCTACACAAATAATTTAAGAAAAAGAAAGCAAGCAAATGTATTGATTTTGATAAAAGGCAGGTCAATATGGTATTACAAAAAAAATCTAAATCCAACAACATACAGATTGTGGTTTAAAATAATCCAGTTTGGTTTGATCCCCTTTCAAAAATAGGAACAAAATAAATTAAAGGATTTACATATAAATTAAAAATAGATTTATCCCACTCATTTTTATCTTATCCAACTCAAACACAAATCAATTTCATTCTAAAACACAATTGATAAATGGACATAAAATTAAAAGGGATCAACTTCCCATCTTACGCGATCCAAGGTTTGTTTTTATCTATTTACCATTTTGGTGGCAAAAACCCGTGATCCAAAGGTCACACGTCTTACCTACAAATAATCGACTTCACTATCGAACCAAGAAAGGTTATTCTCATAGTCCCATCAATCCAACTCCATTTAAGGTAGAAGCAGTGGTGCCATTTTATTACGCTACAATTGTGCGTCACACGGCTTAACCTTATAAACATACGAATTCAAATACAGTAGATTGGAATGGTAAGTGGTCGGTATACAAAAGGTTTGACAGCATGGGAATAACCGGATACATGATTGTAACTAAACTTGACACCCGAAAAACCATCTCCAAGATGAGTGCAGTGTTCATGGAAACTGCTAATAGGTCTTGACAAACAAGCATCCCATCGATCACTCTCTGGCATCGTCTCCGCTACTGTATATATTCCCCTCAAATTCGTAAACGCTTGATAATTTAAAACTTCCCCGGATTTTGTTATGCAAAGAACAGCAACTTCTGCCCCTGAAACCACACCATATCTTTGAATTTACCCATAAACACCAAATGATGAATTAGTTTACTTGAAAACAAAATGGATGGAACCCAGATCATATTTACAAAGATCAACTGTTCTTGTGCTACCAAACATAAATGGAGTTTGATTTCAGACAAGGGCTCACATTCAAGATAACAGAAACTAAGCAGTTCAAGAGCGTCGTTTTCTTATTTTTTAGCTTTTAATTTCATATTTATCTATGTTTCTAAACAAAATTTGCAATAAAAAACTTAAACACACAGGATCTGACATATGATATGAAAAACAAGGAACTAATATCGTTCAACGACCATTTTGTAAAAAATATCCCTATATTTGTCTATTATAGTCGAACAGTGCCATTGTTTGGAAAAAGTTATGGGTTGTCCCTGTTCAGGACAACAAAGTCCAAGGTTCTGAAATCTTGAATTCCTGTTGCTAAAACAAGATTAGGGATCTTATTAACTGTTTGCAATTAGATAACCCGATAAGCATTTATTAATGGATGATCAAGATTTTAACCTGAATCACATATAGCAGCAGAATGAGCAGCACCATGAACAACAAGCATCTTTGTTACTAAGAAAAGACAGTTTCTTTTCAAGAAAACCCTATTGTAGGATCTCAAGCAAGAAGCCCAAGTAAAAATCGATTGAAATAAGACAAGTGTCTGAACTTGATTCAGCCCATGATCAGATCGATTGTATTGGTTGAAGAGCAATTCTAAACCAACTTCTAACTTGCACCGACAAATTATGTGAAAAATGGAACTAATTTAGCAAACATGCATACAAAATCGAAGAATTAGAAAGGATGAAAACCCACAAAAAGATAGGAAATTGGAAAAAGGGTTGATGTGAATTGCAAGTGTTTTAAAAAGGGATTGATGTTTGACCTTCTAAGACGTGGTCTTCTGGGCCAACAGAACCATCAGCACAGACATCGCAGACGACTCTGCCATGGATTTCACCTGTCCAAGATTTTACAGTGCAGGGAGTGAGGAAGGCAAAGAGAAAGAGGGCAATGAGCAGCTTCCCCATTCTTGATTTCTTTCATGGCTGCCTTCAACCCCTTTGTAAAGGAGTCGGGTCGTCGACATGGGTCCGACTCCGACCGATTACAGCCCGTAAACATCACCCGTTTAGCTACTGGCCCACTTGCTTTCATTTTCTTTCTGTCTTCTTAACATATAGTTTGATGGTATTGCATTTATAACGAATTGTTTTGTAACCCATTTTCAAGATTAGTTTATGTTGATTTTGTTTGATACACCACAGAACTAAAGTAGGTTAGATTCCATAAGTTGTTAAAATAGTTTTTATGAAATCTTGACTTTTTTTGATGAATAAGATAGAAAAATTACTATAAAATATATTGAATAGTTTTTTAAAATCATACAGATATATCGACCTACTTTATTCGTAACACCAATAAATTCTTATAGAATTTTGTTAGTTTGTTTGTGACACACTTGATTTTGAAATATTGGCAGCAAATGTACGGTGGGCAGAAACCTAAAATAAAATATAGAACAAGAAAACCAGACGATCGTTCTCCCTCCCTCCCTCTCTCTCTTACACTCAATCGGCATGCCAATTTCCGGCAGACCTCCGTCAAAACCCTCCGACATTCGATAAAGATTCTGGAACAGAAGGTCTACGATTCTTTAATGCACCACACCTCAATAGTCTCAAATCCCCGATCAAAAGTTACCCATCTCTCTCTATTTTTATATTATATGTTAAACATCTTTATACACAAGTCCATTCGCATGTGTTTCAAGTTATCAATGATTCAATATGGGCTATCAGTATATGGTATGTTTATGCACCTTCTTTTCTGATTTACAACCTGTGGTCAAAAGGGTTATCTTTTTGAATCAGTATTTATCTTCAATTTATACCTTATCGTCCATGAATTAGAAGCTTTTCATCAGGGTATAACTCAAAGACTATCATATATATGTTCATTTCTTGTAAATATAAAGCAATTCATATTTGGCTCCTAAAAGTGCCTGCTTTCACCATTTAGGTGAAAGAAAATACCTAATTCTGGAGAGGAATATGTATAGTTTAAAGACACTGTGGTCGAAAAAGTACTGAAATCGAACTGATAAGTGTCTTGTTCCAATCATATGTATTTGGTTACACTCCACTATTCAATCACTTCATTCCATCAATGTATATATGTTGTAATTTGTAGCAAGATAGCAAGAAAATTCAAAATCTAGATAACATGCAAGAACGAACTAAGGGGCTGTTTTGGTTGGTTTTTCATTCCGTACTTCATGGATAAAGCTTTATGTGCAGATTAATCTTTTTGTATATGTTAGGAAGGTTTTTGTTTGAGAAGATTCTCATAGATGGAATAAAGCAAGCTTTTTAATTGGGAATGACAAGTTCGGAAAAAAACTTGGCTTTTTGCATAAAGCCATTAGTGGTCTGCTTGAATTGTTTTAGTAAGTAGTACTAGTTTCTTGAATGTTTTCAGTTTAGTTGATTATAAAGAATCAGTTTGTGTTCAGGAAATCAGAGAGTCCAACAATGAGTAATCACGGAGGCTACATGAAATTGAACATATACATACGAATGATGTTATCAGCAATTTACCCGATTGTATTCTTCATCACATTCTGTCCCACAAAAGAAGTTGTAAAGACCTCCATTTTATCTACAAGATGGAAGAACCTGTGGGATTCAGTTCCCAACTTTGATTTTGATGATGCATTGTTGTATGCTACTATGCTAGTGAGGTGGATGGTCGGCATCCACCTTAGTTGACTCCCTTCATGAACTTCGAGTCCTGTTAAGGGATGCATCAAATATAGAAAAGTTCTGTTTATCTTGCCGTGTTTGCTTTAATGCATCTCAAATACACTCATGGATTTATGATGCAATTGTGCACAATATTCAGGAGCTTGATCTCTGTCTTTTTGCAGAGGATCCATCTGTGATTCCTCGGTCTATGTTTGATAGCAAATCATTGGTTAGCCTGAAAATAGAAATGAATTGTGTTGTTGAACTCCCATCTCGCATTTCTTTTCCCCGCCTGAGAATCTTGCACCTATCTTTAGTTACCTTTCCGAATGATGACTCTACAGAAAAGCTTCTCGGGCTGTCCTGTTCTAGAAGAATTGGTTCCATTAGATTGTGAATGGGTGAACTTAAAGAACATCGCAATTTCTAATTCCACCTTGAAGAACTTGTCCATAGATGATATGCCATACTTTGGGCCACTGGATGATCATTGTGGCAGTAAGATCAAGATTGATGCAACAAATCTTACATTCTTGGAGTATATTGCATATCTGTCAAATGAGATTTTCTTGGATGATGTATCATCACTGGTTAAAGCATGCATTCACATTCCTAATCCCCAGGAGAGGCAAAAAGAAGTTGTGTGTCGTACTGTTGATATACTCAAAGGACTACGATATGTTGAATCTTTGAGGGTTTCCAATAGCACTTAGGAGGTAATTGGCAGCTGATATGATCTTTTACCTGTTTTTGTTTGTTACTGTATGTTGTTTGCCTGTCTGTTTCTAGGCTGTTGCTTCCCCAACACTTTTCACATTTTAGCACTGCCTTTCTTACTCTTTTTTAACAAATGGTTTTGAAAGTTTTATCCTTTATTTTCGTACAATTTGCACTAGTTGGGGGTCGTCCTGAAAACAGCCGCTTTACTCTTTGTGGTAGAGGTCAAGTCTGCATATCCCCGCCTAACTCCACCTCCGCTTGGGTGCATACTTAATTGGCAGCTGATCTAATCCTGGAGTTTGCCTTTTCGTACAATCCTGCGATACCGACTTTTGTATGTGCTTAGTCTCTTATGTGTGCAGATAACTGGCTTGACCATTTTCCAGTATTTCCGAATATGACCCATTTGGTGTTAACCATGGAGATTCAGAATCATACAGTTGGGAGTACTAATGGATTTGCTTAACTTGTGTCCAAGTCTACAGTCGATTTGTCTCTCTGAGGTACATTATTGGATACCCCAAAACTGGAATATAATGTCAATGACCATGATATGAATGTTATTGGATACCCCAAAACTGGAATATAATGTCAATGATCATGATATGAATGTTAAGGTTTGTTGGAAATACAAGGAATTGAACGCTGCATGCGCCTTGGTTGGAACCATTCAATTTGGTCATCAATACCTATATGCATGTCGAATTGCCTCAAGACAGTGACTTTCAAGAACTTTCGTGCTAATGATTCAGAAATATGTTTCGTTAAATGTGTTTTGAAGTATGCGCGTGTTCTAGAGAGTATGGATATCCAGTGTTGCAAGTCTCAGCTACTAGATCTAAAGAAACAAAGAGACGTGAGGAAGCCAGGAAGGAATTAGAAACAATAGCAAGGACCTCTGCAGTCCGTGTCATCAAGTTGTCATGATATGACCCCTGCAGCTTTAGTCTAGCAGGAGTTGGACATCCTTGCAGAGAGGATATGACCCCTGCAGCTTTAGTCTAGCAGGAGTTGGACATCCTTGCAGAGAGGCCTGTCCCTAAGACAAGCGATCGCCCTCACACATGATGAATGTGGGACAGGTATGGTGAGGTTAAGAGGATGACATCATACCCTTTTTACTGTAGTTCTAAAGAAAATGTTTGTACTTCCGTTTTCCTTTGTGTATTTGGTTAGCATCTTTGCAATGTACTCCATCATGTCTTGAGAACCGTTAAGCGGTCAAGAAAACATTGAGGGGCTGTTTGGCAGTTGCTGAATGGTTTTGTGCAGAATGGTTAAGTGGTCAGAATGGTTAAGAGGGTCAGAATGGTTAAGTGCTGAATGAAATATGGTTGTTTGGTAAATGTTCTCTGAATGATAACAAATTACCATTTTAACCCTCTGTATGATTTAGTACTGAATGAAATATAACTGTTTG